AATCGAAGCGAAACCAAGTCAAATTAACTCAAGTCGAGTTCGTTTTCAATAACCCCGATTAGCCTGAATTGACTCACCCCGAGCCATCTAAAATCAAATCAAAACTAATCAAATTAAAATTTTAATTAAATTCACTAAGTTAACGTTCTAATCTTATTAAAATCAACTCTAATTTCTTCAAAAAATAAAATAAAATATTAAAATCATTAAAATAAATTTCAAATAAGTATATATCTTTTTAATTAATAAATTCTAATAAGAGCAAATTGACTAAAAAAAAATTTAATAATAATAATAATGATAATATCAAATCAAAAATTTTAATTTAATACTTTCTCATAAAACTCTTAAATCAAATCGTTAATTAAATAACTTAAATTAAATAATCTTAATACCTAAAACTAATTAAATAAGAATTTAATGGCCGGTCTAAACTACCCAGCCCGACATGATCCCTCTCACTCTCTCTCATTTTCGGAAAAGCACCCAGCAGTTCGCATTCCCTGAGGCTCTCTCTCTCTCTCAAAAAAAAAAAATCGTCAAGCTCTCGCCTCCTTCCAGTTCACGAAAAGCCACAGGCTCGCCTCTCTCTGTTCATTCGCACGAACGACCTCCCCCACTCCCACACTCATTGAATTCGCAGAACCCATAAGAAACAGCGGCCGACTCTCTCATACACGCGTGAGAACTCCTCCTCTCCGTCACCCTCTGCAGTTCGCACAATCCCCAACCATCCACTGTTGTTTACCGGTAAACATCTGCTGCCGATTTTCCTTTATTTATAAGTAATTTTCTTCCTTTAAACTTCGAATGAAGCTTGTCTTTGAAAAGTTTAGGTAATTCTGAAGCCATTATTTCATAATTGTACTTTCTAAGAGGTTTAATATGAGAAATGATTAATTCTGTTTTCTAAAAGAATTTCTGCTTAAAGATCTTGCCTTGAAAAATGAGTCATTATTGCCTTTTTCTCGAAATCAACTAAGAAATAATGATAAGCTCTCTCTAATCGAGAACCTGCAATGCATTTTTTTTTTATCATTATGATTGAGATAAAATGTAATTAAATCAATAAAGTAAAGAATTAAAAAAAAAATTTTGTAGTTTAATTTGGTTTCTAAATAAAAAAAAAATATTATGTTTAAATGTAGAATTGAAAAGTTTCATGAAATGTAAATAAATGTTATGATTTAATTGATACTGTTTGAAATCATGTTTTCATATCTTCTTTAAAAAAAAAAATTAATAATAAAAAAAATCTGAATGATAAATGGTTAGTTTCATATAGTCGGTATTTCAAAGCAAATATATAAGTTCATAATTATATAATTTATAATTGATCGGAGAAGTTTATATACTGACGTATGATCAAAAATTATTTCAAATGATTTATATATTTTGAATTAGAATGGTAGACAAAAGTTGCATATAAGCAAACAAATCATCCATCTCTCTTTTATGTGATTCCGTTTCTCATTTAAATGCTGATAATAACCATATTTGGAGAGCTTGCCTGCATGTTTATAACTCAAATGGCATCTATATATTTGATAGCAAGAGCTCAAGAAATTACTCAAGAGGATTATATGCACCTTGAAATGTTTACTTTATATTTTAGTTATCAAATTATAGTCACTTCAAAATTCTGACATATCTTTTATGTATAATAATGATATGCATACATGTATATTCGACACTCAGAGGAGATGAATAGTAGTTTGTGTTAAAGATTGAGTTAGCTTGAAATTTATTAGAAAATGAAAGTTTTGAAAAAAGTAAAAGCCCCTTTCTCTCTTCATCTCTCTTTTTCCCCTTCTACTCCTGAGATTGTACTTTATTCTCAATGCAGTATTCGATTACAAAATAGGAGAAAATCAAATCTGCGTGGTGAGACATAAATTTTCCCACCAACTCCCTCGTCAAATAATAAAAAAAGAAAAGCGCGAGCGGAGGCCGGGGCCGAATTTTTGGAGCCTACAGGGAGTTTGGCCAGGTAGGAGCTCGGCACTCTCTCCCTCCCTCTCTCTCTCTCTCTTTCTCTGAGGATCAGGAGTCTGTGAGGCTGCGACAAGAGAAGAGCGGGAGATCTGTTGTGAGAAGGGCTACTGGATTCGGCTTAGAGGAAGAGGTTCGTGGAAGATTGGAGGGATCGGAGGTTGGGTCTTCCGGTCGGAGCAGGCAACGGGAGCTAGGGCAGGTCGTGGGAGAGGAATCGGGAGCTTTGTGTGTGTGGAAGAGAGGTAGCGAACGGTCTCGCGAAGGCTTCATTCGTTCGGCTTTTAAAGGCGTCAAAAATCAGCGATCGAGGCTGTCGTTGCAGGATTTGCGGGGAAGCGATGCGAACGGCGCCGAATCGGTGCGATTTTGGCAAGGTTTTGAGGATTCGACAGGTATGAGGTTTAATTTTGAGCCTTTTTTTGTTTCCTTTGGATATAACATGCAGGTCAACAGGAATTTAAATTTTAAATCTAAAATTAGAAGTAAAAATTCAATTAATTATGTGCTCTTGCTTTGGAGTTGGGCTCTTTGTGATGGAACTCCTTGGGTGCTCTTTTAGTTTGATTGTAAATTTGTAATCATCTTGATGTTTTACATCACTTTTGGAATTGGCTAGGCTTTTCTAGTATGAGGCCAATGGTTCCCAAAGGAAAATGGAAGGAATTAAGATGTTCACATTTAATTTTCTTCCAAAAATAACGAATAATGACCATTTATTCCTCTTTTGCAAGACTTGATCTGATCTTGGAACTTGTAGCCACTTAAGCAGAATATGAGAGTTTTATTGTTTGTTATAATACCATCGATGGTGCAATATTGCAACATAGTACAATAATTTTATTACAATACCACATCATACTAGTATGTCGATGTTGCTATAGTGCTATGCCAAGGAAAGAGGGGAAATAAAATAAGAATTGGGAGAATTTTGGATTTCTTTGAATTTTAGGAATTAAGGTCTTTAAATTGACAATTTATGGTAGAAATTAATTTGCACTTTATCTCTTCTGCAACTAACACCATAATTTAATAGGAGTCTTTATTCTTTAAAAATAATTCCATAAAATAAGAGCAATGTTATCCTTCATAAACTAACTCCACAAAAGAAAGAAATTCTACTAGAATTTAAAATCTTGAATAAAAATTTATCCAAAATAATTTTAAAATTCAAAATTCATACTTATCATGTTGTAATATGGATTTTGATCTAACAATCTAACATCCTAGGCTTTGACCTCCCTCATATGACATCTGTTAAATGATGCATCTTTATTTGTGAACTCTTTATGGCTTTATCTTCCTATTGAATCATATATCTAAAAATTCTTTAAAAGAGATCCTCACAGATCAAAGAAATTCTTGTAGGCAATAATTGGATACTCATCAGTCTTTTTGAAATATTAAGTATATTTAGATAAATCAAAGAGGCCTAAAGAAAATTTTAAATATTGAATTGTCTCACAGTAGAGGAGTTATCTTACTTCTTTAAATCCCCTGAACTCTACCCAAGAGGGTATATCCTGGAAGCCGCCAAGTTTGGATTAGAAATCCTAACCGAGGGTATTGGTTTTTCTGAATGCAATCCAAAGAAGCAAGTACACTAATAAAGGAAATCGCCAATGTGTGCCAAATAAGGTTTCATAATTCCCTAGAACGTTTGACTTTTTTGTGCATCTTGAGGTGGGACACTTTTATTAGCAAGCCTTATGGAATTAGCGAACTTTGTCATTTTAATTCTGTAAAACACATTCTTTACTCTTTCATGGCTAACCGCTTTTCGGTTCTTGCTATCTTTGTTTTTGTCCTTTTTTTTTTTCATGTTAATTCATGAGGAGTGTTGCTTACATAAAACATCAATTTTATTGTATCACAGTAGGACTGAGAATAAGCATACCTTGAGAGCAAATAGGGATGACAAATCTCATATGAAAGGGATGTTATCTATCTATGGGGAGAAAATTGATCTAACCTTATTATCCTTCATTCTATTTAATTTATAATCCATAGGATATTTTTTGTTTTGCAAATATTTCTTTTTTTTTAATGAAGATTTGCTCATATTAATCATATTTACATGTGAAAATAACTATGCTGTCAAATATTTCCAACAAGGTTCCCTAAGATATATCCTCACTCATGTACTGCTTTTGTTAAGATGCACGTTATGGAAAATAAAAAGTCTATCGTCTTGGATGAGAATAAGAATTGAGTTCCTAATATACTTGTCCTTATTAAAGCATTTGTGAGCATTGTGTTTAACCCCATAAGTAAGAAGTATATTGGTAAAATACCTTAAAGCGGTTGGTCTTCACTCAAGCTTAAATTTTTTGATTGAAAATGAGATTAACTCCAATGTATTGAATTCAACTTAGGTTCCTCTTTTATTCATACTCTAATAAATAGTATTTGAGCTGATTTTTTAAATGGAATTGGGTCTTTATGCGGTTTGACCTGAGAGTTTTAAGTTCTATACAAATAATCAAAGGCACCTGAGAGTTTTAAGTTTAGTTACTAATCAAATAGGTGAAAATATGTCATTATATAAATATTAAGTGGTTGACCCTCACTCATAAGCTTAAGCTTTGAGGTTAAAAATGATTTAGATTATTGGTGTATTCAGTATTGAATTCAATTTGGTTATTTTTTATTGTACTTTCTAATGACCTTTATCGATCAGTTTAAGCTTTTAAGTTAATAGAGGTCCTTTCATTAGTAAGTATGTTAAGCTCAATTTGGGCTCTTAGTATTCCACCTTATTAAATATTATCAGAGTCGAACTGCTGCTTGACCTTTTTTCAAAGTTGAGTAATTACACTAGACCGTTAGCTTAAGCTTTGGGTTTAGAGTTGTCCATTCATTCTGAAAAATCTAAAACATAAAAAAAATAAAAACCTTCGCTACTGTTTTTCATAAAGCTTCATTTTATCGCTTTCATATCCGGAAGAACTCATTTAGTTTTTTATTTATTCATCAAAATCTCCTTACAGCTGGAAACTTTTCTGCAGGTTGACAATTTTGGTACTGTGAACCTTGTGGAAGCATGCCGGAAGATTGGGGTGAAAAGATTTGTTCTTGTCAGTTCTATTCTAGTCAATGGAGCAGCCATGGGTCAACTGTTAAACCCAGCTTATATAGTATTAAATTTGTTTGGCCTCACCTTGATAGCAAAACTACAGGCAGAGAAGTACGTTAAGAGATCTGGCATCAATTATACCATTATTAGACCTGGCGGGTTAAGAAATGATCCCCCTAGTGGAAACATAGTTATGGAGCCCGAGGTATCGTTTTCATTCCTCCTCTGTTTCTTGTACTCATTAATAGTTTATTTAGTAATGCAAATTATGGTGTAAGTTACTTACAGATGCTCATGTTGATTTTCTTTTCAGGATACTCTTTTTGAAGGTTCTATATCCAGAGATCAAGTTGCAGAGGTTGCTGTCGAAGCCTTGGAGTGCCCAGAGTCTTACTTTAAAGTAATAGAAATTGTTTCGCGGGTTGAAGCTCCTAAACGGCCATTAAAGGATCTATTCAGTGGCATCAAGCAAAAATAGTTCCTTTCTTTCCAATTAAAACAAAACTATTGCGTGAATGAGTTTCTCTCTCTTTATTTATTTATTTCTGGTTATGTAATTTGAATAACACGTCTGCGATTTTAAATTGTAAATAGAAGTCGTTCCACCTAATAAGTGCAACCAAGCATCGGTTTGCAGCATCTTGATAAGGAAATGATTAAAATCTTAAGATTTTAAATGCTTTTACTATTAGTTTGAGGCTTCTTTAGGAATGGCTTTTTTAATGTTCTTTAAAGCAGTTTTTTAGTATTAAAAAGCTGCCTAAGAAGTATTAATATTTTCATAGTTAGCACAGTCATTATAGTCAGCGTAATACCATCTAAAAAATATTCCTTGGTTGCCAAAAAGGTCCCTTCGAAGGATAATAGTTAAAAGGTTGGCTTCATTCATCCTTGTCCAGTTGAAGAAAGAATGTAGAAATGACGAGCAAACCGAAATTCAAGAGAAAAGGTCATGGAAAAGTTTCTCTGATCGAATAATATGCTTTCCATTTTGAAACCTTTAACCTTGTAGCATTCATAACAGAGTTGATAACTGTTCTAGGATTGGCCCAGTTCCATTAAACCGACAATTATTCCTTTCTCCATAGGTAATAGATGATGTAACAATTTGTTAAAAAACAAAACCTTTTTTCCCCTTTTTTAACTGCTATAGATTGTCAAAATAATCCAATAATTGAAAATGGTCGGTCTCATTAAAAATGAATTGAGCATCGGTAATAAGTCTTTTACAACTAAAAAAGAGTAGTCACATTCAAAAAAGATGTGATTATGAGTTTTAGGCTCCAATTGGCAAAAATTTCATGGAGACGAAATATCTAAAGCTTTCTTCATCAAGAAATCAGGTGTTTTCAGCCTTTCAATGCTAGCCATCCAGACATACGAAGAGTATCTTAAGGAATGTTGTTTATGCAAAATGAATTGGTGCCAAAAAAAACATATTCCATTTGAGAGTAGTATTGTAGATAAAATTTCCTATGTGAAGGATTTGGGTTATCTTCCCAAAAAATTTCCCTTCTGTTTGAGATATGCATCTAATTAATGAGGTTTTGAACTGTAAGTGGGATGTAATATGGTAGATCCTACGAGTTATTATGAATAAAATTGATAACATCCAGTTAGATGTTTTGGGGGAGTTATAAACTTATAAAAAAAAGAGAGTTTGCAATTAGTAGAGATAGAAAAAGAAACCTTATCTCTAATTAGTTGGGCTGTATAACGAATATTTTTTCATTTTCTAGAAGCTTGCGAAGGGGTCATTTTCCATGGAGAAGAATAGTTCATCCTTAACCAATCAAATAGCTTAGAGTCCTGATTCAAAAATCTCGAAATGATGGAGCATTTATAATAGATATATAAAACCTCAATGGATTGAATACCCAGGCCGCCCTTTTCTTTGAGTTTACAGATGATTTTCCAAGAAATTATATGTAACCTCCTCTCAGATGTCTTTCCATGAAACATAAAACTGAGAACAAAACCTTTCAATAAGTTTACAGCAGCTTTTGGGTAGAATTGCTCTTCTAAATTTTATAAATTTAATTCTTCCTGCAAGGGATAGGAAGTTTAGTTTCCAATCCTAAAAAAGGAGGTAATCTTGCTCAGAAGAGGTTGAAAGTGGCTATGCTTCAGTTTTTCTACTAAGATAGGAGGCCGAAGATAAGTAAGATTAGAATCAACTTTGAGAATACCAAGAATAGTGCAGATTTCTTCTCGAGAAGATGGATTTACTTAAATGGTAATTGAACTTTTTTTCGGACTAACCTTAAGAGCAGTTAGGATTAGAAAACTCATTAAGGATGTGTTTAGGATTAACAGAATGTTGAGTTGAGGCAACCCCAAAATCAGAACATCTGCATAAAGCATGTGACTAATCTTTTACCCATTTGAATTGATGCCACAAAATTGATTGTTTTGAGAGTAACCAAAGAACATGAGAGAGCATCCATGATTAGACTAAAGAGTAGCGGGAAAAGAGGGCAGCCTTATCTAAGTCCAGAGGAGCATTTGAAAAATCCTTCTAAGGAACCATTTATATAAATAGAGAAGAAAAGATTTTGAATACAACCATTAACCCAATTTAAAAATTTCTATAGAAAACCTTTTTGTCTCATTTGGTTCAATAAGAAATCCCTAGAAACAGAATCGAAAGATTTAAGGATGTCTAGCTCAGTACAAAAATATTTTTCTTAGAATAGAAATCCCTTAGGATCTCCGAGGCTTAGATAATATTTTGAAAAATGCACCTCTTGTTTGTAAACCCGCCTAGCTATCATGAATGATAGAAGGAAGAACTATTTTGAGTCTATTTGCAATTAATTTTTCCACAATCTTATAAAAGGTATTGCAAATTGACATGGGTCTAAAATAAGAAATTTTTGTGGCATGGGAGGTCTTGGGAATTAAGGTAATAGTTGCAGCCTTAATTTCTTTATGTAAATTTCCCGTATCAAAGAAATTCTTGACTGTATTGAAAACTTTCGGACCAACAATTTCCTAAAAAGTTTTATAGAATTCAACCGTTATCAACCGTATAACAATCCAGTAGTGGAGAAGAAGCATTAGGTAATGCAAAAACTATTGTTTTAATTTCTTCATAAGAAAAAGGCATAACAAGTAGATTGGCATGAGAAGAGAAGATAATCTTTCAAGGTGATAGATTGAAGTTATCAACATTCAGAGGTTTAGGAATGTTGAAAATCCTATTGAAATGCTGAATTATAGAATCAACAATTTTTTTAAGGATTAGTGAAGTGACAAAAAGGAGTAGAAATTTTCTTAATCGTATTACACTTTTTCATGGATTGGATCTTGGCATATAAAAAGAAAATATCATCTTCTCCTTGAGCCAGCCATTTTTCTTTAGCCCTTTGAATAACCCAAGTGTTCCAAGCAGATGGATAAAATAGAAGAGAGCCATTGATATCTTTCAACAAGTTGTTCAGGGTTTCATCTAAAGGGTTGGACTATAGTATCTCAAGGCATTGGTGATGCTGTTGCCTAAAGTCTTCAATACGACATAAAAGGTAATTGCTTGAAGCCTAATTTTTTTTTTTTCAAAGCAATTTTTAAAGACTAGAGACTAGAGTGTAAAGAACTAATAGCAGAACTATTCAAGTAATAAGAAAAAGCTTCAAACACAACTTCATTGAAACCATTCATATTTATCCAAGAATTCTTGAAAAAGAAATATACTCGGCTTAATGGGAATCAGAGATGAAAAAATGATCAGTGGAGAATGATCAAAATAATAAGGAACATGTATTTATGCTAGAATTTTGACTACTCAGTGAATTTCACCATGAATCGAATTCCAAAAAGAGAAAGTTCGAAACAATTGGGACTTTTTCGTAGATTGGATGCAGTTGAATTGTCGATATTCAATAGAGTTTAGGAAACAATGAAGAAAGATGCATTTTCATTCATCTGGAAATGTTAAATATAAAGAAAATATCAATAATACTTAATTAGTATCTTCGTAAGTTCAGTTAGATTCTTTTGGGAGAAGATGAACTGCTAATCAGACACATGTCTTCATTATCGAAAAGTTTGTGAGAGTTCACAAACCAGGGGTCAGTAAAATTCAAAGGAAGAAATTTTTCTTCCAAAACACAAAACATTTTAAAATTATACCAGTTAATAATGCCTCTTAATGTATTTACTTTGTCAGGGCTATTGAACCCTCTAATGTTCGAACTAGTAAACAATGATATATTCATTTGGATTTGGATGTGGGTTTTACCTTCTTGGCACATTTTGCTTGAGTGTTTTTAGGGGAATAAGATGACATTTGTTTTTAGATAAGTTGTTTGATTGTGGGATTGGATGCGCCCGGAGGGAGCCCTTCCAATGAATTGGGGTCAGGTAATTCCTTTATTTGAATAGTGTCTACTTGTTGAGAGTTTTGGGAGGATTGAGAAATTGCATCATCATTAAGTAATGAAGAAAATTTGTTTGAAAGAGGGATTTTGGGGGTTTAATGAGCCAAAGTTTTGGAAGATTGCTCAAATGAGGAAATTTCTTCTCTAGGAAAGTTGAGATTGGGTATCATAGGGTCTTTGATCAGTTTAGTAGAAGAGTCTATGGGAGGGTCTGCTGATTATGACAGAAGAGCCAGAGGGGGAGTAGCTTTTGTATTAGGAACAATGGGTTGATAAGAATTTTTGGTGTGAGATAAGATAGTGATAGGCTTAGATCAATTTCTTGGATTTTTTCTTTTACTTAAACCTCTTGGATTATTCCTATCTAGCATAATAGGAATTGTATTAGGGTTTGTGGGGTTGAGATTAAAAGGATGTATTATAGATCTATAGGACTCATTGTGTGAAAGTTTCTAGTCATAAACTACCTTTAAGATAAACTTTTCCCCATCAATTAATAAATGAATTTCCTTGAGGGTGGATGTTCTAGAAATCTGAATGGAAACTCTAGAAAATGTTAATCTTGTACGCTTAGCTATTAAGGAATCCACAAATAAAGGGATACCTATATGAATATCAATTTTAGACATTTTAGAAGGAGATCAGAGAGCCAAAATGAGATCAAGGTTTTTCACTAGCAAAGGAATATAAGAAATCTCATTAGTTTTGGCTTGAATTTAGGGGACCACTTTTGAATAATGAAAGGTTTGCCTAACAAAAACCAAGGCCCTCCAAAGAGAACCATGTTGTAGTCATCCAGATTGGTGAATTTTTATAAGAAAAAACCTTCCTCAAGAGATAGAAGAGATAATGAACCTCTAAATGACTACAACTTGTTCATAGAGGCAAGAAGCCTTTCATATTATGGTCTTGGCCCAATGGAGTACCCCACCAAAGATAAGTTCCATAGGGACGTTCCTTCTAAAATATTATCTACATTAATTTAAAGTCCTTGGCTAGGTGGAAAGAAGCTTATCGGAAAATCATCCAACACAAGAGCTGAAGGAGAGAAAGGATTTGTCCAAGGAGTTATCAGAGCAGTTAGACGAGGACCCCTGTGAGAATTTATTTATTTATTTTAAATCTAGTTAAAATCAAAGGTTTTAAATGTCATGATCTAGTTTTAAATGGCATGGTGAAGAGATTTTCATGCATCTTGGGTGTCTTTGTATGAAATTACATATAATTTCATTGAATTCACATTTGAATTCTCCCTTAAAATAGGTTATAACTTA